TATATTTTTTAATCACACCTTCTAATTAAAGTCTGATTATATATACACTACTACTTTTTAATCACACTTTTTAAATAGGTGTGATTATATAGATATTTTTTAACCACACATTCTAATTAAAGTGTGATTATTTATATATTTTTTAATCACACCTTCTAATTAAAGTCTGATTATATATACACTACTACTTTTTAATCACACTTTTTAAATAGGTGTGATTATATAGATATTTTTTAACCACACATTCTAATTAAAGTGTGATTATTTATATATTTTTTAATCACACCTTCTAATTAAAGTCTGATTATATATACACTACTACTTTTTAATCACACTTTTTAAATAGGTGTGATTATATAGATATTTTTTAACCACACATTCTAATTAAAGTGTGATTATTTATATATTTTTTAATCACACCTTCTAATTAAAGTCTGATTATATATACACTACTACTTTTTAATCACACTTTTTAAATAGGTGTGATTATATAGATATTTTTTAACCACACATTCTAATTAAAGTGTGATTATTTATATATTTTTTAATCACACCTTCTAATTAAAGTCTGATTATATATACACTACTACTTTTTAATCACACTTTTTAAATAGGTGTGATTATATAGATATTTTTTAACCACACATTCTAATTAAAGTGTGATTATTTATATATTTTTTAATCACACCTTCTAATTAAAGTCTGATTATATATACACTACTACTTTTTAATCACACTTTTTAAATAGGTGTGATTATATAGATATTTTTTAACCACACATTCTAATTAAAGTGTGATTATTTATATATTTTTTAATCACACCTTCTAATTAAAGTCTGATTATATATACACTACTACTTTTTAATCACACTTTTTAAATAGGTGTGATTATATAGATATTTTTTAACCACACATTCTAATTAAAGTGTGATTATTTATATATTTTTTAATCACACCTTCTAATTAAAGTCTGATTATATATACACTACTACTTTTTAATCACACTTTTTAAATAGGTGTGATTATATAGATATTTTTTAACCACACATTCTAATTAAAGTGTGATTATTTATATATTTTTTAATCACACCTTCTAATTAAAGTCTGATTATATATACACTACTACTTTTTAATCACACTTTTTAAATAGGTGTGATTATATAGATATTTTTTAACCACACATTCTAATTAAAGTGTGATTATTTATATATTTTTTAATCACACCTTCTAATTAAAGTCTGATTATATATACACTACTACTTTTTAATCACACTTTTTAAATAGGTGTGATTATATAGATATTTTTTAACCACACATTCTAATTAAAGTGTGATTATTTATATATTTTTTAATCACACCTTCTAATTAAAGTCTGATTATATATACACTACTACTTTTTAATCACACTTTTTAAATAGGTGTGATTATATAGATATTTTTTAACCACACATTCTAATTAAAGTGTGATTATTTATATATTTTTTAATCACACCTTCTAATTAAAGTCTGATTATATATACACTACTACTTTTTAATCACACTTTTTAAATAGGTGTGATTATATAGATATTTTTTAACCACACATTCTAATTAAAGTGTGATTATTTATATATTTTTTAATCACACCTTCTAATTAAAGTCTGATTATATATACACTACTACTTTTTAATCACACTTTTTAAATAGGTGTGATTATATAGATATTTTTTAACCACACATTCTAATTAAAGTGTGATTATTTATATATTTTTTAATCACACCTTCTAATTAAAGTCTGATTATATATACACTACTACTTTTTAATCACACTTTTTAAATAGGTGTGATTATATAGATATTTTTTAACCACACATTCTAATTAAAGTGTGATTATTTATATATTTTTTAATCACACCTTCTAATTAAAGTCTGATTATATATACACTACTACTTTTTAATCACACTTTTTAAATAGGTGTGATTATATAGATATTTTTTAACCACACATTCTAATTAAAGTGTGATTATTTATATATTTTTTAATCACACCTTCTAATTAAAGTCTGATTATATATACACTACTACTTTTTAATCACACTTTTTAAATAGGTGTGATTATATAGATATTTTTTAACCACACATTCTAATTAAAGTGTGATTATTTATATATTTTTTAATCACACCTTCTAATTAAAGTCTGATTATATATACACTACTACTTTTTAATCACACTTTTTAAATAGGTGTGATTATATAGATATTTTTTAACCACACATTCTAATTAAAGTGTGATTATTTATATATTTTTTAATCACACCTTCTAATTAAAGTCTGATTATATATACACTACTACTTTTTAATCACACTTTTTAAATAGGTGTGATTATATAGATATTTTTTAACCACACATTCTAATTAAAGTGTGATTATTTATATATTTTTTAATCACACCTTCTAATTAAAGTCTGATTATATATACACTACTACTTTTTAATCACACTTTTTAAATAGGTGTGATTATATAGATATTTTTTAACCACACATTCTAATTAAAGTGTGATTATTTATATATTTTTTAATCACACCTTCTAATTAAAGTCTGATTATATATACACTACTACTTTTTAATCACACTTTTTAAATAGGTGTGATTATATAGATATTTTTTAACCACACATTCTAATTAAAGTGTGATTATTTATATATTTTTTAATCACACCTTCTAATTAAAGTCTGATTATATATACACTACTACTTTTTAATCACACTTTTTAAATAGGTGTGATTATATAGATATTTTTTAACCACACATTCTAATTAAAGTGTGATTATTTATATATTTTTTAATCACACCTTCTAATTAAAGTCTGATTATATATACACTACTACTTTTTAATCACACTTTTTAAATAGGTGTGATTATATAGATATTTTTTAACCACACATTCTAATTAAAGTGTGATTATTTATATATTTTTTAATCACACCTTCTAATTAAAGTCTGATTATATATACACTACTACTTTTTAATCACACTTTTTAAATAGGTGTGATTATATAGATATTTTTTAACCACACATTCTAATTAAAGTGTGATTATTTATATATTTTTTAATCACACCTTCTAATTAAAGTCTGATTATATATACACTACTACTTTTTAATCACACTTTTTAAATAGGTGTGATTATATAGATATTTTTTAACCACACATTCTAATTAAAGTGTGATTATTTATATATTTTTTAATCACACCTTCTAATTAAAGTCTGATTATATATACACTACTACTTTTTAATCACACTTTTTAAATAGGTGTGATTATATAGATATTTTTTAACCACACATTCTAATTAAAGTGTGATTATTTATATATTTTTTAATCACACCTTCTAATTAAAGTCTGATTATATATACACTACTACTTTTTAATCACACTTTTTAAATAGGTGTGATTATATAGATATTTTTTAACCACACATTCTAATTAAAGTGTGATTATTTATATATTTTTTAATCACACCTTCTAATTAAAGTCTGATTATATATACACTACTACTTTTTAATCACACTTTTTAAATAGGTGTGATTATATAGATATTTTTTAACCACACATTCTAATTAAAGTGTGATTATTTATATATTTTTTAATCACACCTTCTAATTAAAGTCTGATTATATATACACTACTACTTTTTAATCACACTTTTTAAATAGGTGTGATTATATAGATATTTTTTAACCACACATTCTAATTAAAGTGTGATTATTTATATATTTTTTAATCACACCTTCTAATTAAAGTCTGATTATATATACACTACTACTTTTTAATCACACTTTTTAAATAGGTGTGATTATATAGATATTTTTTAACCACACATTCTAATTAAAGTGTGATTATTTATATATTTTTTAATCACACCTTCTAATTAAAGTCTGATTATATATACACTACTACTTTTTAATCACACTTTTTAAATAGGTGTGATTATATAGATATTTTTTAACCACACATTCTAATTAAAGTGTGATTATTTATATATTTTTTAATCACACCTTCTAATTAAAGTCTGATTATATATACACTACTACTTTTTAATCACACTTTTTAAATAGGTGTGATTATATAGATATTTTTTAACCACACATTCTAATTAAAGTGTGATTATTTATATATTTTTTAATCACACCTTCTAATTAAAGTCTGATTATATATACACTACTACTTTTTAATCACACTTTTTAAATAGGTGTGATTATATAGATATTTTTTAACCACACATTCTAATTAAAGTGTGATTATTTATATATTTTTTAATCACACCTTCTTCTACTTGGCTGATTATATATACACTACTAGGAGTGCCAACTTTATGAGTGATAGAGTATTTCTTAACTACCGACTCAAAGAACCGGTTACAAAAATGTGTGCCTTGATCACTTATTATGGCTCTAGGAAACCCAAAACGACTAAAGATGTTTTCATGCAAAAATTTGATTACCACTCTATGATCGCTTGTTCGGGTAGCTATTGCCTCCAACGACTTAGACATATAATCTACTACCAAGAGAATGTACTCAAACCCGAATGACGACGGGAAAGGGCCCATAAAATCAATCCCCCAAACATCAAATATTTCTACCACAAGAATAGGGGACATTGGCATCATGTCACGCCGAGAAATCGAACCCATTTGCTGACAGCGCAAACAAGTTTTACAAAATTGATGGGCATCTTTAAAAATTGTGGGCCAATAAAACCCACTCTGTAAAATCTTGGCGGCCGTTTTATGCCCATTAAAATGACCGCCACATGTAGAAGAATGACAAAATGTAAGAATGCTATGCACCTCACTCTCCGATACACACCGTCGGATCACTTGGTCGGAGCAATATTTAAACAACTCCGGATCCTCCCAAAAGTAATACCAGACCTGCGAAAAGAATCGATCTTTGTCCTGCTTAGACCAATTCTGTGAAATTTGCCCAATGGCCAAGTAATTCACAATATGTGCAAATCACGGGGGGCTCGCTTGTGACAGCTCAAAAAGTTGTTCGTTCGGAAACGAATCATACAAAATAAGAGGGTCACTATTATACTCAACGAGGATTTGGGAGAGGTGATCCGCCACAACATTCTCAGATCCTTTCTTGTCGCGGATCTCTAAGTCAAATTCCTGAAGCTACAAAATTCATCTAATCAACTTAGGTTTAGTCTCTTTCTTAGATAGCAAATACCGTAAAGCGGCATGATCAGTGAAGATTATGACCTTGGAACCTAGGAGATAAGACCGGAATTTGTCTAAGGCAAAAACCACAGCTAGCAACTCTTTCTCGGTGGTAGTGTAATTCAATTGTGCATCCGAGAGAGTGCGACTAGCATAGTATATAGCAAATGGTGCCTTATTGACCCTTTGGCCCAACACAGCCCCGACTCTATAATCGGAGGCATCACACATGATTTCAAAAGGAAGTGACCAATTTGGTGATTTCATGATTGGGGTGGTGGTCAAGGCCATTCTCAGTGTTTCAAATGCCTTTATGCATTCCTCATCAAAGATAAAGGCGCGTCCTTAACTAGTAAACTACACAAAAGACGTGATATCTGACTAAAGTCTTTGATGAACCTATGGTAAAAACCTGCATGTCCTAAGAAAGACCTAATTTGACGTACGGAATTGGGTGGAGGAAGGCCTGCAATGAGGTCAACCTTAGCCTTATCAACCTCTATACCTCGAGGGGACACAATGTGTCCCAACACTATACCCTCACGAACCATAAAATGGCTCTTTTCCCAACTCAAGATTAGGTTTGCCACAGTACATCGTTCTAACACTCTAGTCAAGTTCCTAAGGCATTCCTCAAAAGATGGTCCAAACACTGAAAAGTCATCCATAAAAACCTCTAAGAATTTCTCCACCATATCGGAGAAAATGGCTATCATACACCGTTGAAAGGTTGCCAGTGCATTACATAGCCCAAAGGTTATGCGCCTGTAAGCAAAAGTGCCAAAAGGGCATGTGAATGTGATCTTTTCAAATTATTAAGAGTTTTGAGTCACAAATTTACAGTACTAGGGTGAGAGTACTGTGGGATTGGAGGCAATAACAGTGTAAATGTTTGTCTCGAGATGTACACATCAGGGTAATGTCTAATTGTATTCTTGCTATTTCTATGGGCGCAGGTGCCATCCTGGAGAAGTAATGAAGATTTTGAGGCTGCTCTTAAAAAGGCCGGTTTGCTTTGAATGTTTAAGAGGACATGATATCTAGCGGTTATACTTGAAAATGAACACCAGTGATTTCTGGTGTTTTAAGTCATCAGTATAGTTGCACACAATGATATATATTAGTTTTCGTGTAACTTTTTTTGTATCTTAGCATGACAATTGGCTGTGTGCATGCCTAGTTCATGTTGGCTCCAGCTCTTTGGTTTTATAGAAGGGGTTTGGTTTTGTGAATAATTATTTCTACCTATGTTTTGGAAGTTAAGGTGTTTTTATTTTTATTTTTTTAATGTGGCTATGGAGTTGTCACACCGAAGTTACCATTTGGAGGAATGCAAATAATGCTATTCTTTTGAACGCTGTGTGCCTACTCTTGAATTTGCCATTTGAATTTGTTTTTTGATTTTTTGGCTGCTGCAACTACATTTTTTTTTCATTAATAAATTTCACCAATTCAGTTGATGCCAATTTATTTATTGCAATGAGGTGATTAAAGGATGACAGTACTACTGGCACCAAATTAGGTGGAAAAGAATCTGCAATATCTCTTTTATCGAACTCAAGTGAATTCTTATAATCATGCATGGATGCAAACCTTTTTTTTTTTTAAAAAAAAAAAAACTACAATACCAGTCAACTTTGCAAGCTCCTCACCTGACACATGCATTGACGAAAGCACCAGCGCCTTCCCTCCAGCTTCCTTCACTGATTTAATCAATGCGGTATACTTCTTCTTCATAGCAATCTCTGCATTCTTAAAAAGTTCATCTGTGATCATTAGGGTTTTGATGGCACTCAACTCTTGTGCAGCCTCAACGCTCTTTAAACCATAGCATGCCCGACCTGAGTTGCTCGATAACAGGTCAATGAACTCCTTCATTGCCTTAATCTCCACTGTAGCCTTTATGTCTCTGATAAAATTTGTGACTGTTATATTATGCAAAACCTCATTCAAACAGTTTTCCTTTCCTGAATTTGTATTCGCCAAAAGTATACATGACTTTTTGTTCTCTATCGACTTCAACTTGGATGATCTCTGTGCTTCAGAGAGAATGTATTGGCGAAACTCGGCTTTTATCTTACCGGGGCTTCCTATTACTACGCAACGTACCATATTCCAATCGATATGCTTCATGAAAGCATGTAAAACGCTTTCAAAAAACTTGTTTAACCCAGTTTTTGGGTCCAGACGTTCTTCAATCTTTGCACAATGCTTTGACACACTGTTATTCCCAAGTAAGAACACATGAGCCAACCCTTCTTCCATCAAAACCACCCCTAAATCATAGCCAACGACACCATCATGACCATCTTCCATTGTTTCCATCGCTTTTGTGTCCCAGACTTTCTTCTCTAAAGTAAATTCCTTATTTTTTTCCAGTTCCAATGTATGAAACGAGCCGGCATGTACGTGTTCGTTCACAACCCGGTTCTTTCCGCGGACAAGAAGGACCGACGAGCCTTTGCTGTAGTTGATGGCCGTGACCTTGATTTCAAGATTAATATGGACTCTGGATTGGTTTTTACTATTTATTTTCCGGGATGTCTGGGAGGTGATCACATCTCCAACAGCGATGAGATTGTACACAAGCCAGAGGTCGTCTGGTTGTTCTAGAAAGATCTTCCCCGTTCCCGATTTGTCGGGAAAAATTTGCTTTTCCAGTAGCTTCATTGTGGTTTCTTTTCTGACAAGAGAAAATTTGTTAGTTCGGGATAGGAATTTGATTGTGATTTCTAGGATTCTGAGTAAGTTTCTTTGAATGTATGGATTGAAAGATAAAAAATATTTTTATTTTGGAATCCTTTTAAATTAAGAAAACACAAGTAGGAATATGAATGTGGTAATTCAAAATTTGAAAGAAAAGGTGATATATTTCACGCGACTGTATGTCATGTATTAGACGATAGAAATCTTACCCTGGCCTAGGAGGATCGAAGAAAGGGTTGGGAATGTTTGTATAACATGAATGGCTGACCTAATAAACCTTCTTAGAGCGCCCCAACCACCCCTTATTTTAGGCACATTTTACTTGAATATTTCTAATTTGTTTTTGTTGGACAATCTTCACTGTATTTAAAAAGATTTAATTCTGTTGTGTACAAAACAACAACCAGAATATAAAGAAACGTAGTTGATGTTGGACAATCTTCACTGTATTTAAAAAGATTTAATTCTGTTGTGTACAAAACAACAACAAGAATAAAAGAAAAAGAGAAAATGAGAGAATATGTTTGATTACAAAAATCAAACTCGAAATAAAAAAAAAAATAAATAAAAACAAAACAGATTTTATTTTGTTACAAAAACAAAATTAAAATCTGAATAAATAAACAAATAAAAACAACACTGAAAGTAATTAAATAACTTACTTGATTTAATTTCTTCGAATTATTTTTCTGATCAAGTCCAGTGTTTAACACTGTGTCCTTAAGACAGATTCGTCCTCTCCACGGTGCTTTCAGAATTCGGACGTCTATCTCCCAGGATGAAATGATCTACCACAAACAATAGCAGCACTACAAATTGTTTGCCTTACGAACACACTAAGTGTTTACACTCTTTTAGATTAAGAGCTGTGACATTTGAGTCCGAACTGTAGTAAGCCCAATGAACAAAACGGGATTTCCTGGGGCGTTCGCGTTCGTCTACAGTTTCTGGCGACTTTGCTGGGGATTTAGAGAATTTGACTCAAACTCATGATATCTTGTTTTGATTACACTTATGTGTTTCTTTGCATTGCATGTGCATTGGGGGTAACCTTGTAGTTTAAAGGCTTGGCTGCATATTGCATAAATGCAACCGTTTTCCACAAAAGAAGGAAACAGATAGATTTTGTTTTATTTTATTTTATTTTACTTGCTTCGGGACTAACAAGTTGTAAGTTGGTGGATTACTTAAGGTCAAATTGTACATCATTGAGGCCGTTAATTAGAATCTCTTAACTTTACTTGTTGGTCAAAGACTTATACTTTATGTGTGTGAATGTCAATCAGGTTGTACATTGTCGGAGCATGAAATGGGCAAAAAGACAGATTTGGACAGAGTTGACTTTTCCCGCACGTGCGTTAACTTTTTCTGGGAAAGTCAGCCTGACATTTTAACCTGTTGGACGAGATGTGAAGTATAAAAGGCAAGGAAAAGGCTTTTTCTAGGGTTCGGAAGTTGTTTTTGACCTAAAGAGAGAGGCTAGGGTTTGGAAGGAAGAGAAGAGAAACAAAAAGCTTCAAGGATGTCTCTATGGTGGTTTCTTCTCCATCTACCTCCCTCTACTCCTCCATGAGTGGCTAGTCTCATTTTTCTAGGGTTTTGATGAAACACTAGCCATGTATTATTTAGTTTCTTTTTTGATTTTTAATTATGTAAAGGTTGAGCATTTGTGATGGTGATTTAGAAGTTTCTTTTATATATTCTTTCATTATTTCTTCGAATATTTGACTTTTGTGATTGTTGAATGTTATCCATACATAAGTTTTCTATTCCTTCACATTCAAGGTTATGAGACAACCATACTACGAGGAACGAATCGTATCACTACCCTAGTTTAGACGTGACGATTCGTATTACTTGAGATGGTTCGTGCTCGTACCATTGAATGTGATAATCTTCTTGTTAAATGGCTTTGAGCTTGTAGTGCGAAGCATAATCCGTTCAAACCATAGCATAATTGATTTCAATTGGAAAAAAACCCTAATTACGTGGCTAGTGATGGAGCTCTTTACCCTAGTTTTTTTCCCCAATTTGTAAACTCAATTTCATTTATTATTGATAATTTAATTCCTTAGTTTAATTTATTTGTTATTAAAATTAAGCTATGAACGAATCAATTTTTATCAAAATTAATTTAGAAATTAAATTAGTTTAATTTTTACAATTGTTCTTCTGTGGATCGATACCTGGACTTGCCATATTCTAAAAGAGGAAGAGAAAAGGGAAGATGAAGGTCGGTTTGTGGATTTTGTGGGTTGTGGGGTTGAGAGAGGAGAGTGGAGATAGAATAAGCTAGGGAGAGAGAGTGAAATCTAGAGTGAGAGTGATTATGAGAGAGAGAGTGATAGATAAGGTTGTTGTTGTTGTTTTTTTTTTGTACTAAAATAGAAAATAGAAATATAAAATAAATAAAATAAAACCGAATTATATATATATATTATAAAATGATAAATAAAATAATTGTATATTTATTTATTTATATTTAAAATTTATTGATGTATTTATGTAAAATTATTTACTTAATAAAAAAATGAAATAAATAAAAAATAATAATAAGTATAAAACAAAACATTTTTTTATTTTTTATTCTATTTATTTCTTTATTTATTTTTTTTGAAAATTTCCGCACCCAACTTGCGCACAGCATATTAAGCAGTATGCGATTATGGAATTCACCAAACTTCCTACACGTGCAGGCCTAGGCCGCACGTGCGACGATTTTTCTCCTCGACGCTATTTTTTTTTTTTTCCCCGAAATTCCCGTACGTGCGGGGCCCAAGCTACACGTGCGCGGCGATTTTCTCTTCCTTGATCGCTAATTTTTTTTTTTTTTTTTTTGGAAAAATGTACGTTTTTTTTTTCCCGCACGTGCGGGAAGTCAAAGCCGCACGTGCGGCTTGGTCAACGCCCACCGCCCTCACTACTTTTAATGCAGTGCGCAATGTTGTTTCACCAAAGTCCCGTGCACATGCGGGGCCCAGGCCGCACGTGTGGCAAATTCTTCCTTTTTTTACAAGTATAATGGCACAAATTTTTTACTTTATTATTTATTTTAAAATTGAACAAGTATAACACCTTTTTTCTTTTTTTTTATTTATAATTTTTTACTAAAAAAAATGTGGTTGAATACTTGACTTTCCCAAATAACACAAAGTAGAAATCAAGGCTTAACCCAGGCTAGGGAGGGTCCCTTCCACCCACAACGCAGCAATGACCTTTTTCTGCTACATTGCAACAGCATAGTTTAACAAAAACAAGAAACACTCGCAAGCGTACATGCTTCAAGAGAATGGAAAAACTACTCTCAGTAACCTAACAAAAGGCACCAGAGTATGGCATAAAGTTGTCACTTCAGAATCCCCCAGGTAGTAAAACCCAGCGTAGTTTATGGCCTTTGGGGCTAGTATAACCCTGGTATACTAACCATTTCTACTTCAATTGACATCCGAAATAAATATTAGCGCATAAGAACATAATGGAATTGCCCACTAATGGTATATCTTCACGCCGAGAACCACGGGTACTACTTTTCTCCCTAACTGTGTTTGTAACATTCCCTATTCTCCAACAGGGTGACAGACTAGGTTGATTCAGCCTCCAGAATTGAGGCGCATAAAAACACCTCAACCTATGGGGCTGCCATACAGAGTTCAAGCCGAGGTAGTTTTGAAGCAATCTCCACACCTGGGTATTTAAATCAGACTTTAGTCTCGAAAAATCTCAAACCTTTGTGTATAGGCTTTGCCATTTGAACTCTAGTTTCCACCGTCTCAGTTGGTCTCGTAGGACTCGCTACAAACACGGTTTTACGGTGGCTATACCAGACCGTCAGATGCCGTTCGGGCACGGCTAACACCAAAGGAATTAC